AGTTTCTATGATTCTAGTTATCTCTGGTATACTCTGGTATGTTGCTAGCAGGCAGAGCATTGATTTCCATATCAAAACATACTATAAAAGAATATTTGAGGTACTTGAACCATGATCTCTTAATTCTCTTATTGTCCAGCTGGATCACATACACACGCATGAGCAAAGGACATTGACAGAAACCAGGTATCACTACTCCATTTTTAACCTTTCTCCCCAATACAGGACTTTCCCTGCCCAGGGAAGAGTGGTAAACTCATTTCTTCACTTTCTTCCCCTCACTTGACAATCTTATGTTACCCTGAGCCAAACTAAACTTCAGGCTGAGACTGATCTTTTTTACTGAAAAATTATGGGGTTCATTTGGAAAAGCTGAAAGTGCCTTCCCTTTATTCTGGTGATTTAGGGTTTAAAACTTACTAGCATTTTTTCCCATATTTATTTTCAATTTACATGCTTCATGGTACCAGAAGCATCTTTCTGTTGCATGGCATTGATTCAAATAGGAGAAAAGCTTATCTATTAGTTTTGATCATTAAAAAAAATGTTATTTAAGGTCATTTAACATAATTTTCAAAGCTGGAAAAAAGGCAACAAATTCCATGTCTTTTTTCTCTCTAAAACCACTTGCAGATGTATTATTCACCTTATTTCTAAAAAGAAGGAGGGGAATAAACCTAATGTATCTGCTGTAAACTTGTCTGTTCACAATAATAAAGAACACAACCATAGGGAAAACTAATTCCAAGTTACCCATCATGGGCCACAGCCTTGTGGTGGTTTTGTGGGATTTTGTTGGTTTATTGGGTTTGGGGTGGGGTTTTTTATTACATTTAAGAAATTTTAACTAAAAGATAATTCGTACTAGCCTATGGCAAACAAGAAAATATTAAATATTTCAGCCTATTTTTAAATATTTCATTCCGGTACACAGTTGGAGCTTTGCATTTAAGAAGTGGTTACAATGACACATGGAATATAGAAAATAAAAGGCACAAAAAACTAATTCCAGATGATTTGTACTGCAATCAAGGACTAGGTTGGATTAATTATGAGAATTAAAGTGACATTTTCCAATAGATTCTAAAAATTGCAGTTCATAAAAATTACTCTTGCCAAAGATGCAACGATTAGCTCAAAGCTTCAAAAGTACTGGACAGCAATGGAAAATTCAGAGAAAAATTTTTCTCATGTCAGTCATGACAGAATTAATCCTGCTGTAATTACAGAAATAACAATACCTTTGATTTGAAGAGTTTATTCTCAGTAAAGGATTCTTTCCACAAAATGGTATTTTTTACATTACCAAAGAACTCTAGAGCAAAACCCATTTGCTATCATGCATAAAACTTAGAAGGCAATCTAGTCTTTCCCAAATAAAAGACTTTCTTTTTCTTGTGCAATACATTCACATCATCTTACAAAAAGCAGAGACACATTTGATAGTAACCCCTGTGACTTTTAGAGGCAATTCAGGAGTTTTTTCTAACACCATTTCTTTTTCATCATTGCCTTGAAGTATATTTTTCAACTTTATCTAATCAACACTGTGAAGAGGTAAATTTATAGTCCCTAATGTAAGTTAATTACTGTAAATCACAGAGTCAATTAAAATATGCATTTCACCCTCAGGCATATTTTTCTTTCAAATTACAGCTTCAGTAAAATCTTAAGTTCTAATACAGACATTTACTTGGTTGGTATGACTCCAAACGTAAATAGAGAAGGAAATGTACTTCCTCAACACCGGTTGATAGTTATTACTATTAACTATAGTAACACAAATGTAACTGTGACAAGCAAGGAATGATTCTGAGCAACGAAGCATTTATACATCATTATTTAGTAACATCAGGAGAACTATGAAAATATTTACTCTTCAGTAAAGTTGCTGTTGATGGCTGTACTGCCAAGGGCCCTCCATCAGTCTTAAAGTCAGAATGTTTGTATTGACAGACATATTCTCCCTTTGTAATGTCTTAAACAAAGAAAGCATTAATACCTTAACCATCAGGCATATGAGCCATCAGTCAATCCAGACGCCATCCAACCATTATATCAAGACTACCCCATGTAGCATGAACCCTTTGAACCCTTTAAATTAGCCTGGACAAATTCCCTCCTGCCCCAAACGGATTTCCTATTGTAAACATATGCTTTGTCACAATCTCAGCATTTTCCAAATATCTTCTTCTATCTAGAAAACTCAGCTTGGTAAAGGATAATCACTGAAAAACACCCCTTAGAATTGTAAGGTGGGGGGAGGGTGTTTGTTTCAGACTTTATAGTACTTCAAATTGCTGTCAGTACCTGTCAGAAGCTAATCAAAAAATATGTTAGTTTAGCAGAACAGTGACCAACTCTTCTGAAAAAAATGATTCACGTAACAAAACCTTTAGTATATTTTTAACATTATTAACAAATCATGGATTCTTTTGTCTCCAAAAGCATCCTAAAGTGTTTTTCTACTGTATATTTCAACAGATAGAAAAACATAGGACTCAAAACCAGTATACATTTGAAACTATAGCTTCCATGCAGCTGTAACACTATGCTCTGAAACAGTATTAATATATACTTCTATATTCTGAATATGGATTTTTTTTTAATACCACAGTAACAAAGTACATTGGACAAAAGAATGCCTAACTTCCCTGCAGCTACTTTTCTTCAGTTTTAGCATCAATTTCTTAGTGGCTTCATTAGCAGAAGAATTAGTTCATTTATCCCACTGAGACCTGAGAGATGTCATTCAATTTCTGATGCTATACTTCTACAACTGTGCAGCATTCATGAAAGAATCACTGAAAAAGAGGAATTTCCTTGTATTTCCAACACTGAACTGACTTTTAGTCAGTTCTATCATAGCAGTGCTATTTAGGTGTTAGAAGTTTACTGCCAGAAACAAAATATGATGCCAAATATCTGTTATCCGGAGAAAATATGCAGGTTTGCAGTATTTCTTCCATGACATCTTTGTAGACATGAAAACACAAATTTTATATCTTCTTAGACAAAAGTCTGCAGCAACAGAAACCACTTAGCAGTCTGAGAAAAAATGGTGAAACAATGAGAACAGAGAATGCCACTTTCATATTTGCTAATTATCTAACTGAAGTGATTGCCAGGTCTGGAAAACAAGACACAATCTGCTCTAAATGAAATGGCATGCATGAGAATAATGTTGATGTTATGGTAAAAGAGGCATTTCTTTTTATGTTAACAGTGTATTCCAAACACTTCCCTTTTTTTAAGAAAACACTTCCATAGTTTAATGCTCACAAGGCACAAAATGTTCTGGAAATGTAGGCTGCATCCAAACTGCCTTCTAACACATTCCCTCCAAATAAAAATACAACAAACCATTGTCCAGAATTGTTTGAAGAGTAAATAAAAATTCTTCAAAGTATTTTCTTTCACTAGTGTTCTACTTCACTGCTTACAAGGAAACCTGAACACCAGCTATGAGCTTCTGTCTGTAAATATCATTGGTATGTCAGAAGATTTCCCCATTCCCTGCCTAAGCTTCTTAAATTACATTCAGATTTCTGTGGTACCATAACAACTTCAATATGGCATGTAATTCAGTATTTTGTAAAGGTTTTGCTTCTATTTCCACCTCCAGTTATTGTTAGTTTACATTTTTCATCCTGACTGCTCTGCAGGATATACATCCTTACAACACTTACGTGAAGTCTTACAGCTTGAACATAGAATATTGTTAACCACCATGTTAAATCCACACCAAGATACAGACTGAAGTAATAGCCTACATTACAGGACACAACAAATTGTACCATATTTTAGCAAAACTTGCGACAAAGCAACCCAATTTCTGACAGCAAAATAAAAAGTAGTCACGTAAAAAACATTTGTTTGGGCTTTTAGGAGATTCATAGGAACTTTCTTTGAATTCAGTTTGTGGGAATGCACGTTCCTCAGTCGTGAAGCTTGATTTTCCAAGTTTAAATGAGGACTAAATCCAAAACAAATCTCAACAAAACTGTTTTGCTTTGCCTGCCATGACTCAATATCATGTAAAATGCCAAAACACTTTTTGCCCCCCAGGTGGAAATGGCAGAAGATCCTAGATTCACTTGGAAGCTAGCACAAGCTTTCTAAAAGACCACAAACCATTCTAACTATTCTGAGTATGCACCAAAATTTGGATTCATTGTACATTGTAAAAACCCTGTGCAGATCATGAAAATTAAAATTAATGTGTACTTAAGATAATTCCTGAAACTAACCAGGATCAACTCTTAATTAAGTTGAGAGCATTCTTTAATTCAACTAAAGCAATGTTTAGCTGTGGACCTTAGGTGTAGATATAAAACAGTATTATTTTTCTTCACAGACCATTTTCCAGATTTTATACACAATCTCACCTGGTCACACTCATTAAATCAAAACAGAATTAGCAAGACATCTACAGAATGCAGAACTATATAGAGCATGGTTTGGAATACAAGGAAATTCTCTATTCACAGTATTTTGTCTAAATAACTTTCATTCATTATATAAACCACTGCAAATACACTAAGGACAAAGTATGGCAAATGATTAATAGTCTTAAATGTATGTACTATTTTCTGTGTTTACTTTTTATATTTCTATTGGAATGTGGACACCTATGTTATAGAGCATTTATATTACAGTCTTCAAAACCTGGGGGTATTATTCTGTTTGTCCTAACCACAGGACAGAAGGTAAAAATCAGCTACATTTATGTGAGACACTCCTACTTGGCTTAGTAAGAAAAGGTTAAGCAGAATTTAACTGGCACCACCCATATCCTCTATTGAAACATTCTGTAATCTACTCCTCCTTTTCCACTTTCCTGTGAAATCAGTGTAGCTTGCATCAAACACCTACTTAACAAGGCTACTTAAATTACTCCAAAGGACAGTCTTCAGCAAAGTACAGGAAGAAATATGGGAATTTAAGGGCTTAAAGCTCTGTGAATGAGTATTTTTCAAGCACCTCTTACAGATTCTTACCAGCTCTTGTGTATCTTCTGCTAATGGCAAAAACGTAGCTTCCAAAATAGCAACTTGATCAGTGCTGAGCTTCTGCCACAAACTAATCAGCATAATCACCAGATGGGTGGCACTTTTCAACTTTGCAAATGCTTGGAACATGTTGGCTTGATTTTCTTCTGCTGCATCTGCTAGAGCTATTACCTGCAAAAATTACAAACATCTGTTAAATATAATTTTACCATCCGTGAACACTCAACACAGAAATTACCTTTGGCACACTCTTGTTTTCCTTTAGAAGATCCTGAGGAATTCTGTTTTCCATAAACACAAACCACAGAGTATTAAATGAGTTATCATTTATCTAGCTTTTCCTTTTACATACCCAAGGCAATTTCAAATCCATATGGCAACAGGATTAATCTATCTAGTACAATCAGTGCAGAAAGGATTTTGTTTACAACATATTTTTAAGGCATTCCTGAAATTAATCCCTATCATATCACATAATATGTGAAAACAAACTAATTTTCAGGTTTATATCACACACTAATCTCCATATGACCAGTAAGCCTACTGTATTAATTAAAAACAACACAAAGATTTTACGCTATTAAAAAGGCAGCATATAATTATTTCCATTGGAGCACAGCTGCCATCTGTTATTTTATTAACTCTCATGTCTCCCCACATTTTGTTGTAGCTTCTTCATCTTTTATGCCAAAATGTAAACATTATGGATCACGTATATGAAGGCAATATCACTTTAAGTGCCAGACTTTACAAAAGAATTTTCAAAATAAAATAAAAGTAACAGATTCACTTCTTCTAATATGGTAAGAGTTTTGCTGAGTATTTCAAGATGGGGAAAAACAGAAAAGCTGTTATGTGATACTCTACTTGGTTCAGAAACAACTTGTCATTGTATGTAATATTGTCCACTCACAGCATTTAAAAAAAATTGATCTTTTGAAAAATATTGCTGTTAGCATCTTCATTCTTGAAACAGAATGTTTAGACATTTTCCTACCACTAGTGAAAAGAGAAGATGACAGTGATTTCAATAGCCAATTGCTATAATGTCACTATGACAAGAGACTCTCCACAGTATTTGCACTGGAGTACTTCAAGTAAAAGAAAGGTATACAGGTTAGGGGTTCATCCCAAGGGACCACAATTTAGAAGACCTGTTCTCAGGAGTGCCATTACATCTCCATGCTACCTAAATAACACTTGGTTTACAGAAGTTTTGATTATCTGATTTTTTTAAAATCAGCACAAAGCACCTCTCTCAACCACTTTCTGTTTATTTATCTGCAAGACAGAGTAATAGGTGCTTGACTGGAGTCGTGAAAAGCCTCACAGAAATGCAGTTAAAGTGTAATTAGTATTACAACAGAATTTACGAAGTAAAACTTGCAGAGCCTGATCCATTAACATTTTGGCAACAGCAGGAAAATGAAAATACTATATGATGCATCTTCAGCAGGGAAAGAGAGCCAACCAGCTGTTAGCATTTTGTGGAGAAGAACTATTTTTAATCTGCAATGCTGGCATTAGAGATGTATGTGTGTTCCCTCCAAGCTCCCATGTGACTGGGAAGATAAAGAAAACAGCATTTTAGGGGACTATAAATATGAAACATTTAAAACAAAATGTGTTGATAGCTTTTGTTTTAGATTTTAAAATGTAATCTTTCCAAATAAAGCAGAGAACCCACAGGACACCCATGAGTCCAAACACTACGTAAATTTGAGCCAAATAACAAAATAAACAAACAAAAAAACCCCAACTAACCAAGTGAAGGAGAACCAAGAAATTAATCCCAAGCAGTGAAAACCAGCATAACATACTTAGTTCAGAGAATAGTAATGATATCACTGACATGTCACCTGATGCATTTGTGTTGGCATTCAGTTTGCTCTGACCAAAGCCTTGATGCTTCCCACACCTCATGTTCTACACAGGGTGAAGTTCCATATTACAGTCACTTTCCAAGAGTTACAGGTGACAAAGCCACCTGATAAGCACCACACTATGTAGCAAGGTACATCATCTGTCTCTGACCCATGTAACCAGTAATTGCATGCAGTATACATCACAGCTTCATCTTTCTGAGACAAGCAGCAAAAACAAGTAAAATCTTCCTCAGTCTAACAGAGGCCTTCAAATACATAATCTCTTTTCCTGTCCAATATACAACTGAAAATTTGGAAAGAACAATGAATGAAGATGAATTCAACATGCTGATGAGGTGTGCTCATTCACTGGTATGCTTCCTATGTCATCACTGATTGGGATAGTACAAATTCAGAATTCCTGGCAAGCTACCTATACCCTATTATGGCTAATGCTCAGATGATATTAATTTTGCTGAAGATCCAGGCAAATAGAGTTACCCCTGTGTGACAGCTACCTGAACCCAACTTACACAGTAAAGGCTACTTTCTAGAGTCATTTATAAATTCCGAGGTGATTTCTAACACCCTCTATATTTCAACTGACACTCTACTACGTGCTTCAGAAACACAAACAGCATAAAGAGAACTGTTGTAGCCTTTTACCTTATGGAGCCATCATTTTAGGATAAGATTTCTTCCCATTTTATAAGCATAAACAAAGGAGATGCTCACCTTTTCGCAGGCTCTAGGTGTAAAACAAATATCCCAGAGCTCCCAAACAATGCCTGATGTACCAAGTCCATAACCTATTTTGAAAGCAGTTTCATAAAAACCCTTAAGAAGAACAACTATTAAAATTTTGTCTTTGGCACAAAATTCTACGGTTCTCATGCACAGTATTACTGGGTAATACTAATAAGACAAATGTTATAAAAGTGGTAGACCTAAGTTTTTAAAGGAGAAGTGGAGTCTTTAAGCATTGCAGGTCACGGAAACACAGCAATTAAATCTTTAGATAGCTGCATATATAAAAGTTCTACTTGACACTTGCAGAAAAATCAAGGAGAGGAAAAAAAACTGCTTCTAAGTACTACTAATTTTGTTAACAAAGGAAGCGACCCAATATAGCTTTCTGAGATCCTGGAATATCCAGGACACAATATGAATTACCACACTATAATGTAAGCTTGCACAGATGCAGTAATTTTTAAAAAGCCTCAAGACCAATGATTTCTTTAAAATATATTGTTTACATAGTAAATACTTGATAGGAGGGGGAAAAAAAGGGAAATATTTTCACATGAAGTAAAATTACTCTAAAAATCTCCCAGGACACGAGCTAAAAATTTTAGAAGTGTTCTGTAGCTTTTCATTCAAACACTTGCAGAACTTAGGAATTACTAAGTTTTAACAACCTGACATTCACATTTTTAATAATTTTATTTTCACCTGAACATCTCATTTATATTTTGTAATATTTGAGGAAGATAAAGGTTCTGTACCCTTTGCAATCTGAGATCCTAGTCTCTTCAGACTTGGTCATGATTTTCTCCATAATTTGCCAATTTTGTTTTCAGTTCTCAGAGTACCTGTTCAGTCTGTTTAATATCTATTTTACCATCTTTCTAAATAGGTATAAAATATTATAAAAAAAGAAACCTCTCCCTGTCTCACTTTTTCACAGGATAGGTAGGAAAATACATTGCAACTGACAGTCTCAAATGTAGCTTACATATAAAGATTGCAGACCGACTGGAAAATATTAAGCAAAAAATCCATTGATATTGCATAAGACCTATCACTGCCGACTTCACATTTTTCTTTCTCCTTCTTTAATGTCACAAAGCTTTCAAACAAAGAAAACTAAAAATCAGTTTTTCAAACTTTCGAAAATTTATGAAAGAAAAGAAAGTATCTGATGCAAGAAATATTTAAGAGGTACTGGAAGAGTGTGGAAGTACAATATTGAACATATATTTTTATAACTGATCAAAACTTGCTTTTAATTTATATTATTTTTAACAGTTTTCTGAACAGACTCCTACTCTGTTCCAATACATGAAAAATAAAGGCCACTTAAGTTATTATGAAAGCATATTGTAAAAAAAAAAATTACTCTCTAAACAAAAATCATGTTTAAGATGAAACTTCTGATTCATACTGAATCAGAATACTGAATTTCATATTCACAGTTGCAATGGTAGCTCTGAAATCCAGATTTTTTTTTTTATGCTCTTGAGAGCTTCAAACCCCTTCAACATTATTACAAGGATTTGACTTCAATAATTTCCAAGCATAGAACATTTCTCAGTGTTTTCAACTTTAAGTATTTAAGCAGAAAGATGTCTCTCCACGCTTATTTCGTTGCTAAGTAGAACTTGTGAGATGTCAAGCATTTGAAAATTGTAAACTGATAGTGATGCAATTTTTAAAACCAGTTAGAATTCTCCATCATTAGTGGTAATGTCAGATATTTTTAGGGCATTAACTCCCAGCAATAACTTCAAAATTAGTAATGCCTCTTGAAAAAGGCTTGCAACATAGCCCACTCTTGTACATGCAGACAAGTTTCTTGAGGCAATAATGACCATAATAATGACTCTCCCAGGTTTATTCTAATAATATAAAAAAATACAAGTACAATTCCAAGAAGACAAAACACTTTCTTCTTAGCTGGATAGGAAGTTGAAGAAAACTTTGAAAAAGTAAAGGGCAAGAAATGAGTGTGAAGTTCCAGGGAGCTTCCTTTGTATTGGTAGCATACTTTCTTGGAGTCCCTAACACCACTGGGACTGAAAACTCTGCCAGATTTTATCCCATATCCTAAAATGGAGAACAAGAAAAGTGACAGATAATTTGGTTTTCTTTTTTTGTGTTGTTTAAACAGAAGGGAAAAAACAGCTATTCACCACTGGTAAAAAATTAGCCAACTATTCTTACTGACATCTAGTTCTAATTCACTGAGCTCACCTTCTGGAATTTTGAAGTAACTTTATTTTTAGCACAAATGAAGTTTGAAGAAACAGAATTTTGGCATTTAAGAAATAGAGAATATCTTTATGTCATCCATAACACTTATGAGCAACTCTTGTATGAAAAGTTCATTAAAATATGAAAGAAAACATCAGAAATTTAATTATTCTGAAATGAACACAGGGATGCTGAAACTCACAGGTCTCTTCTGGCAATTGTTTTTACAGAATAATTTTTTGCAAGGAAGTTAATTAAACCAAACCTTTACAACTATTTTTAAGCAGAATTAGATCTTCATAAAGCAGGATGTTAATGAATATAAAGCAGGAA